TCCGTTTGCTGACTAAAGGAAGAGTGTACTGCGCAGTAGTTCGCTCCGTACTACTATATGTCTGTGAAACATGGCTGTTTAGAGTAGAGGACATTCGTAGGTTGCTTTTCTTCGATCATCGGTGTCTCCGAAGCATTGCTCGTGTATCCTGGGACAATAGTGTAAGCAATGCTGTCGTTAGGAAACGAGTTCTAGGTAAGGATGACAGATCGATAGATGAAGTGGTGAAACTTCATCAGTTGAGGTGATTGGGACATGTGTTACGTATGCCTAACCAGCGAATGCCTCGACGAGCTATATTTTGTGGTGTAGGAGTAGATTGGAAGAATGTTAGGGGCGGCCAAACTAAAAAATGGCACAAATCCATGAAGTCACTGACAAGTAGACTGAGTCATGTCGGTAGTTGTCGACTACCAGGTTGGGGTCCGCGAGAAGAAAGTCACCAATGGTTAGAGACCTTGAACGACATGGCTCAGAGTTGTTTGCAATGGCGTAGGTGCATCCACTCATTGTGTTCTCTCGAATTCTAACCTTCTAAACTCCTCATAATCTCTGTCCTTCTCCTTCTAAATCTATCTCACTGAGTTATACTTCTCGAATCATATCTTCGCTCCCTAATCTTCGCCATTACTGCTAATACTTCTACTATCGCTATCACTGTTGGATTTGAACTGATAGTTGCGTCTCTGTGCTGATGTGGTATGGCAACCTGAACTGATGTACTTATGTATGAAGTTCTGCATGGTATCTGTCTGTCTGTCTGTCTGGATGAGGTTACGCCAGACCATCATCGTGAACTGATCAAATTTAGACACATATTAACACTGTTCGATACTGGCTCAATGAATGGTCCAATGAGCGTAATGCGTTCTCTAACAACACCAACAGTCCTCAGTTCAAATTCTACGGAGTAGCAACAGTTGTGGTCGCGCACACTGCGCCACAGATACGCTGCGCATACTATTCGGCTCTAAAAATCATTAGTCTCAACCATCATCTCTATACAATCGCCCGATTATCATTCATATCAGGCAGAAGTAATAAACTTTAGCTTGTAATTAGCCTATCTATTATGTGTTTGTGGCATACACAACATGATGATGAGGTCAAATCAGGTGAAGTGTTTACCACCTAAATTAATTACTTACTTATTACCTGATTTTGTACTAACAAAAGTGTAATCAATGTAACAAGTCATGGTCACATTGTAATTAACCAACAATAATAAATTAGTTGAAATTGACCTAACTGATTGAATAAATTGTCCGGTAAAATGAAGTTGGCGCGCACGCACACACACACACACACACAGGTAAATGAAATAAAACACATAAAGGAGAAGAGATTGCAATACACTTTAATCTTAAAATTACAAACACAAGTATTAGAATTTGGTTTAAGTAGTTGTTACATATAGATAGATAGCTATTGATTGCCAGGGTGAATAATGATAGTTTATACGGGGGAAGAGGGGGAGGGGAGGGGCGGCACCGCCCTACATTCATTCATTATAAGTATTTGAGAGAGAGAGAGAGTAAGTAATTATTACTGACATTATAAATAATTTCATTTTGTAAGAGAGATTGTATAGACTATTGTGAATATTTGGTATGAAAAATAGTAATAGTAATAATAATAATAATAAAGTGTGATGTGTACTACTAATTTGGTGTGAATAATTTTGCAAATGGAAACAGAGATGAGAGAAGAATGGAGAACAATTAGACAGAACTAGAAAGGAAATCAACTCCGCCAGTAGAACCTTAGGGGCTACTGCCGGTCCCAAGCCCGGATAAAGGAGGAGGGTTGGACATGGGGTTGGCGGCCCCATTCCGTCAAAAACTAACTTGCCAAAAAAACGCTAACCAGAAAAAATAATTCAAACCATTTTAACTCTGCCCTGGGAGTTGGAGGAAGAATTATGACGTCGCGTGATGAAAGCCGAGTTCCCTCGGAAGTCACGGGGCTGATGACTCTTCTGACAACCAGAGCAACCATTTTTTTAGGTACATGGAACGTTCGTACATTGTGGGAGACTGGAAGACTATTTCAAGTTGAGGCAGAAATGAAAAGATACAACCTCGAGGTGCTCGGCATCAGTGAAACACATTGGACACAGGTAGGACAACTGAGACTTGCTTCAGGGGAACTGCTGTTATACTCTGGTCATGAAGAGGAAAACGCTTCACATACACAAGGAGTTGCACTGATGCTGTCTCAGCAAGTGTGAGAACTACAGAGGCATCACTCTTCTTTCAATACCAGGCAAAGTCTTCAACAGAGTATTGTTAAACAGAATGAAGGACTTCGTAGACGCCCAACTTCGAGATCAACAGGCCGGATTTCGTAAGGATCGATCGTGTACTGACCAAATTGCTACATTACGGATCATTGTGGAACAATCAATTGAATGGAACTCACCACTCTACATCAACTTCATCGACTACGAGAAAGCATTCGATAGCGTGGATAGGAAAACACTGTGGAGGCTTCTTCGACACTACGGTGTGCCTGAGAAAATAGTCAACATCATACGGAATTCTTATGATGGATTCAACTTCAAAATCGTACACGGAGGTCAGCTGACAGACTCTTTTGAGGTGAAGACCGGTGTCAGGCAAGGTTGCTTACTCTCACCCTTTCTCTTCCTCCTGGTCATCGACTGGATTATGAAGACGTCAACATCTGGAGGGAAGCACGGTATCAACTGGACAGTTAGGACGCAGCTGGACGATCTGGACTTCGCAGATGACCTGGCTCTTCTATCCCACACTCAACAACAAATGCAAGAGAAGACGACCAGTGTAGCAGCAGCCTCTGCAGCAGTAGGTCTCAACATACATAAAGGAAAAAGCAAAATTCTCCGATGCAACACAACATGCACCAACCGAATCACGCTTGATGGAGATACCTTGGAGGACGTTAACACCTTCACATATCTTGGCAGCATCATCGACGAGAAAGGTGGATCGGACGCAGAGGTGAGGGCGCGGATTAGCAAAGCAAGGGCTGCATTTCTACAGTTGAAAAATATCTGGAACTCCAAACAACTTTCAACCAAAACCAAAATAAGGATTTTCAATACAAATGTGAAGACAGTTCTACTGTATGGAGCGGAAACATGGAGAACTACCAAAGCCATCATTCAGAAGATACAAGTGTTTATTAACAGTTGTCTACGCAAAATACTTCGTATTCGTTGGCCAGACACCATCAGCAACAACTTACTGTGGGAGAGAACAAACCAGATTCCAGTGGAGGAGGAAATCAGGAAGAAGCGGTGGAAATGGATAGGACACACACTACGAAAAGCACCCAACTGCGTCACTAGACAAGCCCTCACATGGAACCCTCAAGGCAAAAGGAAAAGAGGAAGGTCAAGGAACACACTACGCCGAGAAATAGAGAAAGATATGAGAGGAATGAACAAACATTGGACAGAACTGGAGAGGGAAGCCCAGGACAGAGTTGGTTGGAGAAAACTGGTGGGCGGCCTATGCTCCATTGGGGGTAACAGGCGAAAGTAAGTAAGTAAGTAAGAAAGGAAATCGCGCCTAGGACAGATGAAGTTGAAGAATACTGGTCAGCGGCCAATGCTCCATTGGGGGTGGGGTGGGGTAACAGATGCAAGCATGTAACAAGTACGTAACTTCGTACGTACGTACATCAGTTCAAGTTGCCATACCATATTAGAACACATTAGATGTAATTGTCAATTCAAATTCCATAGTAGTAGTAGTAGTAGTGGTAATGAGGGTATTAGCAGTAATCGGAGAGATTCGGATTCGAAGATATTATACAAGAAGTAGAATCTAGTGAAATAAACTTAGAAAGAAAAAGATAAAGGTGATGAAGAATCAAGAAGATTAGGATTTGAGAGCTCACAACGAACGGATGCACTTGCGCCATTGCAAACGATTTTGAGCCATGTCGTTCAAGGTCTCTAACCATCGATTATTATTATCTCGCGGACCCCAACCAGGTAGTCGATACCTACCGACATGACTCAGTACACTTGTCAATGACTTCATGAATTGCTGCCATGTTTTGGTTTGATCTCCCCTAACTTCCAACCTACTCTTACACCACAAAACATTGCTCGTCACAGCAGTTGGTGGTTAGACATACGTACCACATGTCCCAACCACCTCAACTGATGAAGTTTCATTACTTCATCTATTGATTTGCCATCCTTACCTAGCACCCGATCCCTAATAACAGCGTTGCTCACTCGGGTGTCCCACGATATACGAGCAATGCTTCGGAGACACCGATGATCGGAGACTAGTAACCTACGAAAGTCCTCTACTCTCAACGGCCATGTTTTTCACAGCCATATAGTTGGACGGAGTGGACTATTGCCCAATAATCTCGTCCTTTGGTTAGCAAACGGATATCTCGCCTACGCCATAAGTGACGCAAGTTGACAAAAGCCATTCGAGCCTTTTGTTTCCATGCTGAGATTTCGTCAGTCACCAGGCCATCAGCACTGATGAAGCGGTGGTCTACACGCTCGACTACTTCACTCCCTATCACTAGTTCAGGTGCCGACACAACCCAATCTTGAAGCAACATTTTGCATTTTGAAGGGGAAACCGCATCCGGAACATGCTTGCATTGTTGCATAGGATAGTCAGAAGACTCTGCACTTTGTCAGAGTCTGCACCAAATAGAGCTATGTCATCAGCATATTCGAAGTCGGCAAGCGTGTCTCCTGGTAGAATGTCTACTCCTGAAAATTCACAAGAGGATAAGGTTATATCTAGGAGCATGTCTATGATAAAATTAAACAAGAACGAAGAGAGAGTGAACATCCCTGGCGGATAGCACTGCTGACAGCTTGCCATAAGCTCTCACTCACTCACTCAACCTATAGTGTTCACAAGTAGAGAACTTGTATAAGATAAAATTAATATACATACATATAAAATGCAAAATATTCACAATTCGTCCACAAAATAACAACTACAACAACCAAAACAACCCTAACCATAACTTACCATATTTCACTTGGCATACATCACCGACAACAATTTGTTTTACTGGAATTTGTTTAGTTTCACCTTTACGTATTACAAAAAATGTATGCTCTGATTCAATTTTATTTTGTAAACCACGAAATTGTCGTTCTTTTTGCCAATCATTTAATGCTACAACAAACACGACAACAAATACAGCAATCAATATAGCTAAACCTTCAATCCAACCAGCTTGTCCTTCAGATTCATCCAGTGTTGGTGCTTGTCCATCTGTATACACATGAAGAGAGAGAGAGAGAAAGAGATAAGAAAAATATGTAAAGATTACATTCAAAACCAATACTGATCTATATTTTTCATCATAGGTTCGAATCTCTTGATGTGCTACGGGTGGGGGTGTCTAACCTTAAAGTAAGTGATTATCATCAAAGAGAGTCATCCTCTGAGCCAGTGAGAGTAGAAGATATTCGTCGGTTATTGGTTTTCGATTATAGGTGTCTTTGAAGCATTGCTCGTATATCGTGGGACACCCCCGAGTAAGCAATGCTGTTATTAGGAATCGGGTGCTAGGTAATAATATCAGATCAATAGATGAAGTAATGAAACTTCACCAGTTTAGGTGGTTGGGACATGTGCTGCGTATGCCTAACCACCGACTGCCTCGACGAGCTTGGTTTTGTAGTGTAAGAATAGGTTGAAAGAAAGTTAGGGGTGGCCAAAACAAAACATGGCAGAAATATATGAAGTCATTGACAAGTATATTGGACTGAGTCATGTCGGTGGTAGTTGTCGACTACCTGGTTGGGGTCAGCGAGATGATAATAATCGATGGTTAGAGACCTTGAATGACATGGCTCAAAACCGTTTGCAATGGCGCAGGTGCATCAACTCTTTGTGTTCTCTCAAATCCTAATCTTCTGAATTATTCAACACCTCTAGTTTTGTCTTTCTAAACTTATCTCGCTGAATTATACTTCTTGAATTACATCTTCGAACCCTAATCTCTCTGATTACTTCTAATACCTTTACTACCTCTACTACTATTGGATTTGAATTGACAATTACATCTCTGTGCTAATGTGGTATGGCAACATGAACTGATGTACTTACGTACAAATTTCTACGTTGCATCTGACTGACTGACTGACTGACTGAGCCTTTGACATCCAAACGTCTAATCTACAAGTCAGTGAGTAGAGCAACGACGTTACGAGATCTAGTCCTATAATAAACCAGTGACCAACAATAAGTTCATACGCCATTTTTACTGATTCGGTATGCTAGAACGTAGAACAAATTTCCGGCCATAGCTTAAGCCAGGTTGGTGGGTACGAAAGATTCAACTAGGAGTGTTGGAAAACAGCTAGTTTCCAGAATACCAAGTCAATCAAATGGCGTGTGAACTTATTGTTCCCGACCGTAGCTGCCACTTTGACGAGGTCGTCGGGTAGGCTTGCCTATCGTGATGACCCAACCGAGCCATATTGGCCGGCCCTTTAAGTTCTGCCATGCTAGGCAGGTCGATTGGAGAACGATGTGACTAAAAGCCGATACTCAATGTATGAAGACGAAGTTGTACTGCTGACTGTGGAGGGGTGTGACAGCAGTAAGGTGTTTGCCTTGGACAACCAACATCTGCAGCGATACTGCCTTCTCACAAGCAAGGATGAATTAGAAAAGGTCGACCCTAAAATTGTCACACCTCACTTTACCCTCACAGATGATTTCCGTCTCCATCGGTAAGGGCTGTCCACTAAGAGCTTTTAAGAGCGGAGCTAATACTCAAAAAACCCTTCATAAAAAGGTCGTGCATGACCAGCTTCAAACAGTTGTCTCTTGAGCTCTGTTGTCACGCTCCCCGGTCTCTAAGACGGACACTAATCTACCTTCCTTTTCAGGTTCCTCAAGAAAACACCATTCCAACGTGTGTAAGCAGCCGGAAACTGACAACCGCCTTCATACTCATAACAGCACGCTCAAATCAAATCGGTCACAAACAAATCCCTGTCCATCGGTCTGTCTGTCTGAACTTATTGTTGACTGCTGGCTATCAAGGGATTGAATCTCCTAACATCGTTGCTCCAAACACCCATTAAACTGATCAATAATATTATTACTATTATTATTATTATTATTATTACTAATCTATTAATTTACGCATCAATACTTTTCATATTATATATATATATATATATATATATATATATATATATATATGATGTGAGATTACCACTTGAATCTGTATACAATCATGCACTGATGCACATCTATCTATGACCTAGAAGTAGCAGTAGTAGTAGTAGTAGTAGTAGTGGTAGTAGTAGTCATTCAACCATATTACAAAATGAACACATTTAAACAACGAAATATTAATACTATTAATGATAATAATCATAAATTTTTAATATATATAAATTAGAGTAGTTAGTAGTAGTAGTAGTAGTAGTAGGAGTATTAGTAGTACAGATTTATTTCTAACCCTTGTATAGGAACGAACTATTGGGGAAAAAGGAGAGTGAAATATGGATAGTTGAAAAAAAAGGTGATGGTTGTGATTGAAGGCAACACATTGTGAGGCAAGTTTACCCACATTACCAACAACATTCAATAAGGGATAAAACTTTGTTTTGTACTGAGGCGGCACACACATACACACACACACTTCACCCTTTTGGAACTCAATCAGTCAAGAATGAATAGCTTAATATTGTTTTTTTGTTCAAAGCTCATTAAGTTTGTTTTATGACAGATATATATATATATACTACTTAAAGTAACTACTTAATAAAATGTAGCAAGTACTCGCAACAACAACAACAACTATGCTATGAACGTTAACTAGGAAAAAAAATTAGAATATTTCTTCAGGACTGTAGAAGATCAGGGGGGGGTGTATTTTAGAGAAATAGTACATTTTACACTGGTTCGATTAGATGAAACGATACAAGTAAAAATAAGGAGTTAGTTACATATATGTTGTGTTGATGTACAGTGCGGTCCAAGATCCTGAATGATATGGCTCAAAAATTGTTTGCAATGCCATAGGTGCATTCATTCTTTGTATTCTCTGTAATTCTAATCTTCTGAATTTCATTGGATGATACTTCTTGCATGACATACTCGAACCCTGATCTCTCTGATTAGGGCTAATACTTGTACTACATGTACTACTATGGGATTTGAATTAACAATTCAATATCTCTGTGTGCTAATGTGTTAGCATGGCAACCTGAATTGATGTACGTAGGTAAGTACGTACGAAGTTCTATATTGTTGCTGTCGACTGACTGACTGACCAAATTGTACAAGAAGGCAAGAGTGGAAGGGCAAGTCTTTTTTTTTGACTATAGGATCCTGCTAATCGATACTCATAAGTATACACATTCCTATTCCTCAGAAATAATATGCATTCGTCATTTAGAATATTTTCTAATGACTATCGAGTGGTTTGTTCATTTAGCTAACTGTATCTACCAGTCAGCAACCAAAGGCTTCAATCATAATCAGTCAACTACGCACGTAGAACTTCGTATATACGTACAACAATCCAGGTTGACATACCACCATATTAGCACACAGATGAAGTTGTCGATGTAAATGCCAAAATAGTCGAGATAGTAGAAGAAGTATCAATGGTAATCAAAAAGATTTATGATCGAAGAAGTATAGAGAAGTATATAATCCAGTGAAATAAATTTGAAAAGAGAAAGATAGAAGTGATGAGGAATACAGAAGATTAGAATTTGAAAGAAGATAAAGGAATGGTTGCATCTAAGACATTGCAAACGATTTTGAGCTATGTCATTCAAGGTTTCGAAACATCGGTTACTATTGCCTCGCCGACTCTAACCAGGTAGTCTACATCTAGTAACATGGTTCATTCTAGTAGTTGTCAGGAGGTTGATGGATTTGTGCCATATTTTAGTCTGGCCACCTCTAGCTTTCTTCCAGCCTACTCGTACATCAGATAACATCGCTCGTCCAGATAGTCAGTGGTTAAGCACACACAACGCTTGTCTCAACTGATGAAGATTTACTACTTCAGAGAGACAGACAGACAGACACAACGCAGAACTTCGTACATAAGTACATCAGTTCAGGTTGCCATAACACATCAGCACAGAGACGCAACTGTCAGTTCAAATCCAAGAGTGATAGTGATTAGGGAGCGAAGATATGATTCGAGAAGTATAATTCAGTAAGATAAATTTAGAAGGAGAAAGGTAGAGATTATGAGGAAGCTTAGAATTTCATAGAACACAAAGAGTGGATGCACCTGCACCATTGCAAACGATTTTGAGCCATGTCGTTCAAGGTCTCTAACCACTGGTGACTTTCTCTCGCGCAGCCCAACCAGGTAGTCTAAATCTACCAACACGACGTAGTCCACTTGTCAGTGACTTCATTGATTTGTGCCATGTTTTGGTCTGACCGCCCCTAGCTTTCTTCCAACCTACTCCTACACCACAAATCATAGCTCGTCGCGGTAGTCGGTGGTTGAGCATTTGTAACACATGTCCTAACCACCTCAACTGATGAAGTTTCGATACTTCATCTACTGATCTGCCATCCTTACCTAGCACCCGTTTCCTAATAATAGCAGTCCCAGACGTGTTCAATCATAAGTCACGAACAATCCCTGAAAACAATATAACATTGAACAGCTATTTTGTCCTAGTTTAGGACTCCTTAAGACTTAGCAGCTTGACTAATTTAGTAATAATAACAATAAACGTACTAGTAACGAATTGTGAAAGCTTATTCCCGGCGTTTTTCATTCAACAAGACTCTATCTATCTTACTACCTAACACCAGGCAATTTACAAACATATCGATTACACCTTTTTTGAAACCATGAATCAATCAATGTTAGACCACCCTCATTAGAAACCTGGAAGCACTGAAAGACAGTCGTTTCGTCCTGGTATGGGACTACTCCTCAGTGGCAGTGCGCATCCACAACTCCTGCATCGCCGCAGGACTCGAACCAAGGACCTTCGGGTTTGTGCGCGAACGCCCTAACCATCGGATTCATTGAGCCGGTGTATCTAACGATGTTAATGTCTCTAACTTCGGTCAATTCACGAAGTTATCAAACGAAAAAGCAACCAAACAATGTAACCAATAACAAAACATCCTGGCTTAGTACACACACACATATACACACGAGTTAAGAGAGGTCATTACAGCTTAGCTAAACAAACATGTACAGACAGTAAGTATTACACGCACACACAAAAAAAAACAGTTGTTCTATGCATTCAAAGCTT